TTCTGTGATAGATAATGGGATACCCATACAAAGAAGCATAAGTGCAATAGAATACAGACAGGAAGAACTACCAACCAGACAAGAAGTGGAAAATGCAATTTTCCAGATGAAAAATAACAAATCTCCAGGAGAGGATGGCATTGCGGTAGAAATATTTAAAAACGCGGGTGAAACTTTTATCTCTAGAATACATATTCTAATATGTAGGATTTGGGATACAGAGAACATACCAGAAAAGTGGGAGCAAGGATTAATTGTGCCGATACATAAAAAAGGCAATAAGCTCGACTGTACAAACTACAGGGGTAACACATTACTGAACACAGCCTACAAGACCCTCGCCAATATCATTAATAACAGACTAAAAGAAGTGGCTGAAGATATACTAGGAGACTACCAGGGTGGATTTAGACGGAATCGATCCACTATCGATCAAATATTCTTATTACGACAAACTATGGAGAAGTGCTACGAATACAAGAGAAATTTACATTTACTGATGGTTGACTTCCAACAAGCTTTTGACTCTATAAGGAGAGAAATAGTTGAATCTGCACTCCAAAACTTGGGAGTATCGATAAAGCTTACAAACTTGGTCATGTTGACACTCAAAAGGACCAGATGTAAAGTGGCACTACAGAACAAATTGACCGATGAATTTGAAATAAAAACAGGTGTGAGACAAGGCGATGCACTGTCAACAACAATATTTAATTTGGTGCTCCACAGTGCCATTAGAGAACTAGATAGAGGAGGACACATATTTATAAGATCATCAATAATCAGCGCATACGCGGATGACATTGCAATCATAGCAACATCAGTTGACGAAATGAAAGAAGTATTTTTGACGCTAGAAAGAGAAACTGCTGCAGTTGGTCTAAAAATTAACGAATCAAAGACAAAATATATGAAAATGACGCGCTCGGAAACGACAAGATCCCCTCAGAACATCACAATAAATAATTACAATTTTGAAGGAGTAAGCTGTTTTACATACTTAGGTGCCTTAATTAATAACAGAAACGACATGCATTGGACAATTAGTGATCGTTTGCAAGCAGCCCAAAAATGTTTCTATGCCCACAAAAATCTATTTAAGTCCAGGCTACTGAATAGAACAATTAAACTTAGAATATATAAAACTATTATTCAACCTGTGCTAACGTATAGCTGTGAATCCTGGACAATGACTAAAAACGATGAAAGGAGTCTTAAAATATTCGAAAGAATAGATGATGGAGAGTTATAGCTCAAGATAGATCGGAATGGAGGAAAATTGTGAACGAGGTTAAGGCTCACCCCGAGCTGTAATACCAACAGATGATGATGATGCTTATATCTTGGATGTATATGTATGCTAATATGTCTGAATTTAAATATGCATATGATAATTTATAATAGCTGTATATATAGAAAAGAAGCGATTATTGATTGGTTCTGCTATAATTATGTAAAAAAATAATGATGCCAGAACAAGCCCAGCGACATCGAATTCATTATTAAAAGCTTGAAATGGCCAATTATAATTGAAGTAAGTACAATGTTGAACTGACTGATTCCTGTTAACATATTGTAAAATACAACAATTCCTGATGAATTTTTGTATTTTAACATTTTATTTTACCAATTTAGAATTTTAGATGCTACTATATTTAATTTAGAATTTGAAACTAAAGAAATTCGAAATCTGAAAGATTTCGCATAAAATGCGAAAAATTATTAAAATTTTCACTACTGCCTTATTTTAGTAAATTGTATTTGGCTAAATGTCTTAAAAACGGGGTAATCAAATCAACATTTATATTTCATAGAAAAAACTATATACTTTCCATATGAAGAAAATTGAAAATTGAATTTTATACCCACAATATAAACCCATACAATTTTAAAGACTTTTAACCAAAATATTGATCATATTACTAAATGCTTGTGCAACATTCTATCTCCTATTAGTTATATCTTACTAAATAAGTTTTGAACCAAGGAACCTATTTGAACCAATATAAATAAAATTCTGGTATTTACTATAACAAAACATTTTTTAAAATTTTATGAATTTAATTCAATTAGTTTTTGAGTTTTCGCCGAGACGGATGGCCGGATCGAAATGGTAAAATCGACTCAAAATTCGACAATGAACCGAAACATATACTTATGTCTATATCTCAGACTGTAAAAATTTTTAGCGTTACAAATGAAGTTGCAAATTTTAAATATCTTTCTAATATATGTTTGTACGGGTATAATTCAACTCAAACAGAAATATTTTATTGACAATGCCGTTTTCAAAATTTTTGGGTCCATTTCTTAATAAATTGTAATCATACTCGTAATTCGAAAACATTGGTAAAATCGTAAAATTTTAGTAAAAAATCCGAAACAAAAAATTCAAATTTACTGCAATATTCAATAATTTATGAATTTCATAAAATTATTTGTCTATAATAAACAGTCTGAAAAGGTCATTTATCGCAGTATTTTTGCCCCATAGTTTAAATCAACTACAAAATAGTATTACTGAATAATAAATTGTATATAATTTGAATTTCTAATTTCGATTATTATTTTTACAATATGATGTCAATGTAATATGTTGTACATTATTATAATTTGAAATTTTCGAATGTACAACCCCTCTGAGGAATTTTATTTGCGTATACTTAACATACTTATTATTATTAATAAAAAAAAAATATGTTCAACAATTCAATAAAAATTTTAATATTCAATTTTCACTTTATATTAATAATGCAACAACAAACTAATAAACTGAGAAATGTGTACATAATTTATTCAATCAAATGTTCACTTATGTCAGTAAATTGCAGGCATTCTACAAAAATTATTCATAATAAGTAGTTTTAAGAGTAACGTCCAAAAACTTAGGAAATCATTTGAATAATACCAAAAAAAATGAAACAAAAAGAGAAAAAATAGAGTCAACCTCGTCAACTCTGTGATAACCGTACGAATTTGTTATCCTATGTGCGAAAAAATATGCCATAACTGACTATGGGACAGACTATGACTTTAAGTTGCCGTATTATCATATTGATTTGTGCAAAATTTCAGTACTGTGTTTTTCAAAATACAGTGTGTGCCAAACTACTTTTGAAGTTGTATGACAGCTACCCGAACTTTTCAAGAAGCAGTTTTGCACTCACCAGTTTTTCCTGCTGATCGGTTTTTGTTTCCGCGCATAGCTTGTAACAGCTTGGAAACTTAAATTATTTATATTAAGTGCGAAATCAAAATTTTAACTTTCGTACTAAAAATTCTTCTATAAATATCGATTACCACTACAGTTTTGTATTTAGAGCCAATTATGACTTGGAACAATTTGAATAGTATAGTTGATAAGAAATTGTTCAGCATCTCGAATATTAAAAAGGGCAAGTATCTTCATCAAAATCATGTATGTTTCACAAGTAATTCAAAAGCTCTAGAAATTTTGTTTAAAAACTTATTTAAGAAATTATTCTGAAAGGCCTTGGTCTTAGAAGAATATACTTACTAAATAAAAAGTTATTAATTAAGGTTATTTTATGTATTTTCAATTTTAAAGGGTTGAACTGGTAAATTCTCTCTAGTTTATATTTATAATTCCCTATTGACTATATCAGGTCAGATAAAGATATTTATACTCGTAATGTTTGTTTAGCATAATTATCGAGCCGAGTTACTCAAATCGTCCGATTAATATAAATGTATTTGGTGCTTCTGCTTTATATATAGAAATGTCACATTTTAAACTAATATGCAAAGTATTTACTATTATAACTTATAAATTGGACATTTGTTTTATAGGAATGAATCCATTTTATATTGGAGAGCCGAAACTAATTTATGAAGTTAAATATAGAAGTTTTGATGTTTTTATCCATTTACCGTAATAAATGTGCGCATAACTACTCCTCTCAACTAATCCCATGTACCATTAAACTAAACCTATATACTCGTATACCATTAGAGCTAGAGTAATAGCCATATATAGTTTTAGAATATTGTTATGTGACGTTAAATAAAACGCTGTAATAACTCTAAAAATTTTCAATTATCTTTTCTGATTCTCATTTTCTAATTTTTGAAATTCTTGTTTTATAATAATTAAATAGTCTGGCACACAATATTTACAAATTTACTCAGTATAGCAAATGCTCATTTAAATTAATTCTACATTCATTCAAATTCAAAAATGTTATGTAAAAAAATTCTTGTAATTGAAGATGTACGCAAATATATGCCCAATGATTTTATGTAGGTGTGCCTCATCTTTTTATTAAATTAATAAAATTTACTTTTATTCTGTTTTTCTTTCATTTCAGGGGCAAATGAAAAAAAAGAGAAATTGAATCTTTATTTAATCTTACCATAATTTTTTTTTTTTCATCTCGTATTGTTCGTTTCATTTTTTTGTTAGCCTTGAATAATGAAATTGTGTGTGTATGCTTCTTTTTTTTAATGTTTTTCATTTTATTATACAAAAATCCTAGATGACAAATTATAGAAAATAATTTTTCTTTTGCATTCATTGTAATTTTTTTTATTTTTAACATTTATATAACAGTAAAATGTATATGAAATGAAATGAATACAAAATAATAAGAAATAAAAATAATAAAAAATAGCAATAATGAGAAAAAAAATACAAAAAACGAAAAAAAAGGACCTCAGATGTTTTAAATTGCTGATAATAATACAGAATTATGGGTGACGATGATTTTCCAGAAAAAAAAAAGAATAAAAAACACTGCTCATACACAATGTAAAAAAAAGGCAAAGAAATCTTTAAACCCTTAACAGTTCCTCTCTTTCGAAAAAACAAGCGCAAAATTCCCCTTTAAAAACAAAACAAAAAAATCAAATACGCAAATCCGCTAAACAATAAGAAATGAAAGTGAAAATTATTATAATTTTTTTTTTTTTTTTTTGTGTTGTCTGTTTTTCACTTATTATTACCATTATTTACCGTTAATATACACAAAAATATTCAGAATATGATTGCTAGCAATAGCAATGATAACGGTAATTTTGATCATATTATAAAACATGCACAAAAATTTTCTTTTTTATTTCATTAAATTTTCATTTTCTTATTTTATAATTTTTTAATATAAAATTTTTTATTTCAATTATTTTTCTTAAAATCTGAATGATTTTGTTTTATCGCACCTACAGAATAACACTAATATATTCATGATATTTTGTTAAACTGAAGTTCATTTGCTTTATTTTTAGTTATCTGAGTTGGTGTTAGAAATAAGGTTTTGAATCTGGCGATTTAATAATTTGTCGAAGAAGATTTTACACACTGAATTTCTTTTACCTGAACCTGACACTTGAACTAACTTAAATTTGTAATACTGAAATTTAAAATACTGGTTGTACCGGAGCTATCCGAATCTATCAAGGCATTTCATAAAATTTTCAAGAATATATTCAGGCTATAATTAGACACACGATTACCAAATTTCACTCAGTTATGTTTATTATTTTTTCTATTGCTACATAATTGCTTTTTACTCTTTCAAATGGTTATAAACTCTATACCGAAGTTAATATAACATTCACTAAGTGGCAAAGTATAAAAAATGCTATCTTATTTTTAACTGCCATATGTAGTAATATTATATAAATCGTGAAAATTTGTTTTTAAAAATAGAATATTTGCAAATTTGGATATTAAAGGGTTTTGAGGCAAAATTGGGTAAGATTAGAGAAGATCTAAGAATAACTAATGGAAATTTTCTGGAAATTTCATTCTCCTCTAGCTTAGTTGGTAGAGCATCCGCCTAGAAAGCGGTAAGTGACTGGTTCGAGTCCAGTTCGCAAACTTCTCACTATAATTCAAACATATGATTGTTGCATGAAATTTAATAAAAAATAGTGGGAAAAAATTGGAAAAGAAATGAAATACCTTAATAATTATAATTTTAAACTCATTAACTTAGGCGCTCTTATCGTATGTGTAAATCGAAATTAAGAGAAATTTTTAATAAAAAATGTTGGTGGGACGAGATCTTAATATGACTCTCGCTATTGAAAATTTATCAAATATCATGTTGAGGGACGCTTTTAATTCTAGGCTGCCTAACTCTGCCAGCCCTGACTTTACGAACTACATTATCATTAATTATTACTATTAAACAAAATATGTGGCATGTAACATATATTTACATATACATACGTATTATAACGATAATGTGTGATTTATTAAGAGGTAACAAAATCGTAAATATGCACAAAATTTACATTAAAAATTTAATTAATAAAATAAAAAAAGCGTACATCTTATTGAACGCTAATATTAAATATATTTAATGGACAGAACACGTTTGAAAAAGGCTGCCCTTTATACTTTTTATATCATGCGTATATATTAAAAGGAGATGCGGGTGTTAATTTAACAATCAGTTCAAAAGAAAAGATCAATCATCGAATTGAGAAATATTCAGTATATATTATGTACATATATTTCATTGTTTCAATATCCAACAGTGTCCTGCAATAAATTGTAATAAATTTTTCTCCATTTTTATTATCCTTATACAAAATTATTAAATATTTCATTGTAACTATGCAGAAAATATACAAATTCATAATTATTTATATGTAAATTTATGCTATCATAATATGTATATATATGTACGAATATTATTATAAAAGAATTTATGATGTACATATACTCGTATATATACGTATGACATTATAATATAAGAGGAAATTTATTATGTTTATTTTTTTTTCACACATTTTTATTGAGGTGAAAAAGGAAATTGAATTAATTATATAAAATGTTGAATGAATTTAAACAACTGTTAAACGCAATTTTATATATTTTTGAATAAATAAATATTATGTAATTTTCATAAATAAATAATATATATATATATATATATATATATATGTACACAAATAAATTTGTAAACCTAAAATTATACAATAATTGAAAAATTTTATGCCTCCTGCACAAAATGAACACAGTGGTAAAAATATAAAATGATAATCAAAATTTTTACATTGAGAATTGTATGTTTGTGTATATATCAATTATATCAGGGAATTGTTTGTTTGTATATTGAAATTCACTTTTTGAACTTAGTCTAATTATAGGATAAAAGGTTTTTCTAAATAAATGTCAAGGATTTTTAATTAAAATTGAGTAATGGTATTTAATGGTACAGAGCGGGTAAACTAAAATTTTGCAAGTATAACAGGGCATTTATCATTTTTCAATATTATCATCATCAACATGACATTTTTATATTTTTATTACAGAAAACCTTGACGCAGGCAATCAAAATATTAGCGCTTATACCGGGAATTAATAAGAGCAATTGATGATCATAGTACTCACATTTATTGAATTTTTTTTACAACACAAAGACACGCTTTTTTTCTAGTATCAAAGGAATATAAGCTTTGATATAAGCTTTTTTAAAAAGTTCGAATTCAAAGTGGCATAATATATTGTCCGACATATGGCGACACTGTTAAAAAAGATCGGCTTGTATTCACTCGGAACTTAAAATTATAATTCAATAAATTTCTGTATAACTTTCGTGACCATACATTTGTATACACATGAAATGCTTATCATAAATTTAATATATAGCTCATTTTCGACTAATCAACGATTCCTTGTAAAAGAAATTAGTCCGATCCGCAGAATTTAGAGGATACGAGTATTTAATGAATACGGAAAAAAGGTAGTTCAATTATTACTAGTAATTCTTCTGAGTTATTAAATAACTTGGCTGGAACAAAATTAATTGTATTTCAAATGAAAATTCAACTTTATACAACACACTTCATTATTTCCTTGCTTCATAATATAAAATTTACCTGTACAAATATGCCTCTGAATAAATTTTAAATAATATCCTTGTAAACCAAATTGTACAGAAATAAAATTTTTATATACATTGTTAAAATATGTTTTATTTAAGTTTTTTTCTTATATACCTATATAAATAATATAATAAAGTGTCTTGTAATTGTAATCGTAATTGTAATTATGATAATTGAAAATTATTTTTATAACATTGTAAATTGTGATTTTATGTATTAAAATATGGTATACAATAGAATTTGTTGTTTATAGAGCTAGAGAAAATAAATTATATGGAAAAATTTAAGCTGTATGGAAAATTATGTAAAAATATTAGAGTGTAAAATATTATGATTACCCATAATGTTATAATTTGGTATATATAGAGAGGGTGAAAGGTTTTAATAAAGACGGAAGTTTTATACTTATGCTTGTATAATAAAAATCAGTGATATTTATTGAAATATTTTGTAATAAAATTATTTTTATTATTTTTATAACAATTTCGTTGGAAATGGTAGAAGAAATTAAATTTTGGTAGGATTTTCATTAAAATTAAAGCAAAAATTAATGCATTAAAGTTTGAATGGATTAAGTATATACTTTCCATTTAACAGCACAAGAAATATTACGGGTCGTTGATGTTTAGGATGTAATCTGTTTGTAGTACTTATATCAAAAATAATTTTTTTTGGACAAAAAGTGTTGCTTTCTTATGCCTAAAAGTGAGATCTTTTTTTTAGTTCGACCACATATGAGCAAATCTTGAACAAATCTCTAAAAGATAATTTAGAAATGCGGTCGGCAATCTTTATCGGATGGAAGGAAATTATTAAATAAAATTTTTTATACGGGGCCGCACATTTAAATGTTGCGAGAACAGAATTGAGGTTCGTATTTATCATACACATTTTTGCATTTCGTGACGTCGCAAACTAAATTCTTTCAATATACTTATCTGTAGATTCTCTTTGCAAATATGGCATGGTAATGCTTTTGCATAATCATTAATAAAAAATAATGGACTTAATCCAATTCTTGATTGAATTCTTGGTTTCCGTCATTAATTTTTCTTTTCTACGGTATTTCATTAATAATTATTGCTACCATAAAATATGAATTATTTTAGCATTAAATTAAAACTAACATATACATAACATACGGCTCTAAATTTCTATGTCTTCATTATGTAAAATGCTCGAATGAACATACATCAGCAAACTAGCGAAATAAAAGAATGCTAAACTTTCTGGTGGGGATTGGGGATCAAGCTTCCGAATAGTAAAATAAGTTTTTCATTGTGCTTGTATTAGAGCACATTTTTGTTGCCAACGACATTTCGTAACATTCACGCCCTGTAAGTTTATTGAATTTTTTCTAAAAATATTTTGGTCCTAACAATAGAATTGAAATTGTTAAATTTTTCAGGCTTTTGTAAGTCTCATTTTTCAACTTCTCTGGATTTTTTTTTAGATTAATGAGTCTATAGTTTTTGTTTATACACATAAAATTTGGACGATAAACAATTTTGGTCATATAAAATGGTATAATTTTTTGCACTTAGTATATAGGAAGTCATTGAGAAGAAATAACAATAATTATAATATGTAACGGTAAGAATCATATCCTGTATAAATTTAAGAAATAAAAAGCTTGAAAATGAATTATTCATCAAAAAGTTTCCAATCATATTATATTCTGTATTCTAAAACATTTGACATAATCTTGCTTGGAACTGTTTGAAATTTTTCGTCAACATAATATGCAAAGTGATTCTGAAAGCTATACAACAACATATACCTTGGTTAGAGGATCGGAAATGGATAAAACTTTTGTTCCGAACTGGGTTTCAATTTTCAAGGGTTTCCAAATTCCAGGAATTTTAACGAATTTTTACTTATCCAAGTTTTTTTTTTTGTTTATAACTTCCATTCTGAAAAAGGTAGGAGCTTCAAATAAAAAGTTTCTGAAAGGCCTAGTAAAGGGCTTAAAATAAACATGTTGTTTGATTCTGTATTTTATGTACCATCGGAATACTAAGCACTCGATTTAGGTAAAATCAATTTTTTTTTGTTTTATTTTTTCTAACTAGATATAGAATTTTGTACAGCTGCTTAAGCTTTAATTTAAGTACTCGAACATTAAAATTTTTTTATGGTATAGAAGATATAGCATTAAAACCATTTCTAAGTGA